ACTTCATGAATAAAGCATAATCAGAATTTGTGCAGAATTGAGAAAAGTACAAATAATGACTAGGTTTTATTATTTTCACTTTGTTTTTGATGTTTTTATTTGAAATAAAATTGTAATTTTTTTAATTTAGATTCCTGGTGAAAAATATGCTACAGGTTTCAACCCAGATGCAGGTGACAATGTATGGTTCAAAACAGAACATATAAGTTACCGTTTTATTCCTCGTCCAAGATTGTAGTAAATCATGTACAGTGAATGCTTTAGTTTAATAGTTGAAATAAAGAATATTATTTGTTATTTTGTTTCTTTTTTTATATATGTGTTTTTTTTTTTCATTCTTAACATAGTGGCTTCTAGTTAAACCGATTACTTAAAAAAAAATTACCTTTAAAAAATAACATTTAACCTAAGTGGCACAGGTATATAAATGGCTAATGTAGTTGAAATGCTAAACAATTTTTGTGTCGAATGCAAATTGAAAAAAAAAAATTTCTATGAGCTTTATTGTTTTAACACTCACTGAATTATTAAAAACAGTGTAAAATTTGCAAGGATAAATCTTTTACTTATGATAAAATTTCACATTATTAATAGTAATTGTTTTCAGTTTGAAAAAGTTTTTTCTACTTGTCTTCACATTCATTATTTTACTTTGCCTTATCAATGGGCATCTTCATACAGTTTACTGATATGGTACACCCATTTTATATCAGTTTTGTTACATGACTGCTGCGTATATTCAGGAGTTTTTTTTTTTTTTTTTTTTTTTTTTTTTTTTTTTTTTTGTTTGTTTCAAAGTTAATCAGTTTCTGAGTGCATGCCTTGCTTAACTTTTGGTTTTCAAGGCTTAAAATGGTAGAGTATTATGCCATATAATTTACAGTAGTCAGTGAGCAAGTTTTTTTTAAATCAGTTAATATTTTAAGACACTCTAAAAGCAATGCGCATTTTAGTAATTTTTTTATTAACAAATTATTTTGACTACTACATATATAAGCACTATGTTTAGGTCAAACTGACAAAGCTTAACATGTTAATTCTTTCCACCAGCATCTTACATGTAAATACTTATTCAGGCAGCATCTGGGTTATTTCAGTCACTGTTTATTAACATGTGTAATTTAAAAAATATTTTATTTTATCAATCTATGCAGATTTTTAACCGATGCTATTGATGAAATTGAATATTGCTGGCCTTAAACAGAAGGAAGATCAACTCATTGGTACTCATTTGTGTTAATTTTAATATGCTAATTGTTTGCAATTAAGCAATAGATAATTAGAATTTTTTACTTAAACTGTCTAAGAGATAGTTAAATTTACTGTCATACTGAACATTACACACACACTATATATCTATAACTATACTTGTCAAATAATATATTATTCTTAAAAGTACTGAAAATTGATTGAAAATAAAAGTATAATAAACTCAATTCAACTTTATTAGCACTTTTTTTTATCACAAAGAAAATTAAAAATAGCTTTTAAAAATTTTTTTTTAAATATAATTCAGTTAAACAAATTGACTAGAATGTATATATCATTTATATTATCAAGAATCCTCCAAATTATATCATAAGAGAGCTCCTGAAATGAAAGGAAAATTATTTCTAATTAGATGTTTTAAAAATTATTAAACATTTTTAAAATCTTAATGTGTACAGTAAATTTAAAATAACTGTTCTAACATATTTTTTATCCTCAAAGAGCCCAGGTTAAAATTTTACTAAATCAACTATGTTTTGCGAGTCATAAATTGTTAGTATTTATATGCAATCACACTAGAAAAAACTAAAAATCAAAATATTTCATATTACTGCTTTATTGCCACCGATATGATGCGTGCTTTTGGATCTGTTACGGATACCCTTATTTAAGAATTTCTTGGCCAAACTTGTATAATTACTTTTTCTATTTTCATAACTTACATTCATTAAGTTAACATTAGTAAAGACAGCAAGATATCTTATCTTAAATTATAAGTTAATATATTCCAATTAAAAAAAATCTCATGACAAGATGAAGACAGTCATCAGGGGTTAATGTGTAACCTTAATAGTCAGGTATCCATAAAAGAATGTCCCAGTTTCAATGATATATTATACCATTTAATTATGCCTATTTATCACAAATCATATATCAATTGAGGGTAAACTAAGTTTTTCTTACTAATTTTCTATAGGTGCACCTTTAGTTATATGGTGCACATCCAACATATCCCAGTTCCTCCCACACTTGGTTTAACAAATCCAGAAATGAAGCAGTAGCTCTTCTTTCTGTGTCTCAACTCTGTCAAATCATTAGGTAGTAGCAGAATGTAGACATGATCTTTTATAAAACTTAAAGGAAAAGTGCATATATTAGGTCAAGTGAACGTGGAGGCCAGCAAAAAAGATCTCTCTTGTCTCGATCGTTACAACCAACCCAAGAGTCTGGGACACCCCAAGAGTCTGACGTTTAAACCATTTTCTTAAAAGAATTCTAATAGGGAGGGGATCCAGCTTGTTGCCAGTAAGTTTACAGTTCACCCTTACTAATTTGGAAAGAGCCATTTGTGCAGTAGATCCAGATAAGCCACCCCTGTTAGGGTAGCTTCATAGAAATAAAATCGTCTGTACACTTGATGTTGGAGCGGTTAATTCTGACCTCCAGAAACAAACATTATGGGTATTTATCTTCCCCGACTTGGATGAAAAGTTGAGTCATCACTGAACACATGATCAAGAAATCATCTTCCCCCCTCAAACACTTCACTTTCAAGTTAAAACATACATAGTCATCTGGCTTTAAAGCATGGACCAACTGTAAGCAAAATGGACACGTGTAAATGTTTTTCTTAACACGACTAAATTCAGACTTGATTCTGAATAGATTCTTAGGACTATAAGAGGCCCTGACACTGTCCACATCCTCTACAGACACTTTGTCCCATTCTTTTCCCTCTACAACACACCAGCTTATTTTGACCATAACGGATATTGGATAGAAATATGATTTTCCAAAAGTTAATGTATTGTGGCTTTTGCCTCTTCTGCAAAGCAGCATAAAATGGTGAGAGATCGACGATATAAAGTGTAGTTTCCTAACAAGATAGCACAATTCCGTTGGTCAATGTGGTTACATAATTGTGGAAATGTCATTTTTTTCAACAGATAAATTGATTGTAGTCTTCCTTTCCATTACCCTCTTTGTTCTCCAGACCACAACTCTAATAAGACATAACTTTTTTCCTAAATTATTTTGTCATAAATTAGAATTCTAATTCTTTACAATTTTGTTGATAAAAACTTGTTATTTTCCACATTGTTATACTCTTTAAAACCCTTTTGAAACTGAAACAGAGTATAAGATACAAAAATGGAAAAGGTTGGAAATTACAGCAAACCTTCTCTAACCTGAACACTTACAGTCTGAGATTTGGGCCTTTAACAGAAATGATCATCTTGGGATAACTATTAGTGATTGCAGATCAATATGCATAATAGATCTGAATTTAAAAAAAAATACTGAAATATAACTGATATATCTGATGACTAATACTGTTTTATTAACAGATTTATGAATTAAGTGCAAATGTAAGTATGAATGATGTAGGAAGAAGAAATTTTCCAATTTCTTAAATATCATTCATGAATAATATTTTTTAAATATAAGAATAAATCCGATGTCTAAGGTTAATGGCTTAAGATTTAAAAAAGGGACCATCCATATATATCAAAAAAGAAAAACGAACTGCCTTAATGCTTGTGTAGAAATGCAGCCCTAATTGGTTTAGTGATTAGTGATACTGGCTGCCATATTACTGGAACCAGGTTGAATCTTAAAAAGTACTATGTGTATAGTGTCTGTATGCCATGAGGCACTTTAAATATTAGCAGCTAAAAATCCTTAGGTAAAGAAAGAGAGGTGATGGTCTTGATGGTAAGAAAGAGGTGTGGGGAGACTCTCAGATCAATCTCCTGAACTATTCTGTATCAAACTAGATTGATTATTAAAAATAAATTGCAGTGTTTTCCATACGGTTGGTTTTGCAGTTAAATTAAGAATTAGAAGAGTAACTAACTCAATAAGAAAGGCTCCAATGAAAGATTTGCAGTATTAAATATAATTAATACGACCGTCAAAGAATAATTGTTTGAGTGTTTCTCTTAACTCTCTGGGAAGAACAATCATTTGGACAAAATAACTGCATAAAAAAAGGTGATCTTAACAATGATGAAATCAATTTAATCAAATGGAATTTTTTTGTGCTGATCTGAATAAACAGCAAAAATATCCAAAATAATATTGATCTTAGAAAATGTTATAAAAGTATATAGAAAGTTTTCAAATATCACTTAACTTTCCATGTTTCTTATACTGGCTTTATTGACAAGTATTTCAGCCATTGGAAAGCGACATCATGTTCTAAAGAATTGCTGAAAGCTGCTGCAACTTGATGTATTTTTATATTCCAAAACATCTGAGATAAAATACATTTTGCACAAATTTATTAATTTTACTGGGTTACATGAGCAGACATCCAACAGATGAGATTCATATTGATTTATCAATCATCTTGGTTGACCTTAGAAATGAATGTCTATATCATAATGTGATATTTCATTCGCAAAGAATAATAATTGATAATGATATAATTCTGCATATCCTATAGTCATATTTTGTATAACATGGGATTCCAGAACCAAGGACAGTGAAAGTATCCATGTTGCCAGAAGGCAGCTCAAACACTACTCACATATACCAAAGAATGTTGAAGGTGCCTATCACAGATGATGAATTTCATTTGCAGTTCTCTTTTCTTCTCTTGCTTCCAGTGATTTCTCGCCTTAAATGCACTTTAGGATTTAATTCATCTGAACAGATAAAGTACCTCTCTACTAGCATTCTCTAATCAGTTACAGCTGCTAAGACTAAACTAAATATTTTTATCAAAACACTTAGCAATGTGTAGTATTAAGGATGTTTCTCCCCCCCCTTTAATTGTTAAAGACCACCTTCTTGTGAAACTGGTGTGGATGGGGTCATGTTTCTTTCCTTTTGATCTCCTCTTCAATTTTGCATTCACTACATCCCATTTCACTTCAACCTAAAATACATTGTATTGTGAAAGAAGTTAATAAAGTTAGCAAAGAAAATGTAATTTGTAAAATTTAAAATGAGAAGCATTTAAAAAAATAGATCTAAATTACTTAAAACTATGCAAAACAGCCACCTTATTTTGTCACAGAGATTGAATAAAATCTCATCAATTTTAAAGCCCATCAGTTTTATCAAAATTAACACCAAAATAATGATACCATTTGGCTAATTCTGAATTTTATATTGGCATGTTCTCATCCTTCTTATGTTTTTTAAGATAAGAATTTCCTTAGATGCCATACATATAGTAATATAATTCATAACATATATTACTTATTTTACTAGATATAAATACCCAATAATTATTAATAATTAATATAGGATATTTTTAAAAAAGAACGTGCAATTTGTTCACTTTAACTGTTAGTTTTTGCAATATGAAAGTATACAGTCAAAAGTCGTTAATTCGGACACCCATAATTCGGATGATCTATAATCCGGACATCAAAACTAAAAACTTTCTGCGCATGCGCCGCGTTGACACATGCGCATAGGCGTTTACGCGTGCGCCTAAGACCTTTTTACGACTGCGCATATCAGTGTGCGCAAGTGCAGAATACGTTTCCGCGTGCGCGTTTTAGTATAATGGACGTATAAGCAAAAATTATCTATTATCTATTTCAGTTAATGTTGATGATTGCGTTGTTCCTTAATTTTCGAATTGGATCCGGCTTATTATTTTTTTTGCAGACTGTAGAGCAATTTTATAAAAGTAAGCTTAACTTTCGATTATATCAAATAGAATTTCCGATATATATTTGTAATATGTAAAGAACAAAAGCGAAAGTATGTTTTGAAATCCGAATCTGTTTCAATTTCACGCTGCTCGGCGGGGGGAACGCCGCGCCGGGCGGGCGCGTAATGAATTGGAAGTTGATTTTCAGCACTATCCTTACTTCAGCGCAGATGTTTTTTATTGGCTTATAATCCTTACAAATGTAGTATTTCATCCGATATGCTCCGTCTTTGATATGATTTAAACATTCCTGGTCATTATAATTCGCTTCCGATAGCGAAAAAAGTAACAGAGGTTATTGAAAGCGAAAAAATTTCGATTGACAAATTAGTCGGTGTTTCTTGACAACGCAATTATAGGACTTGAACAGCGAACTTTGTAACTGAACAAGAAATTATGTCTGTTTAATAGAATTAAAGAGAAAGTATTATCACATGAAACGAAGCAAAACTTAAAACAACTTACATTAAAAGAAATGTTTAATAAAGTAAACAAATAAATATTAAGCTTTTTCTTTTTGCAAATTTTGATACCCTTTAGATCATAATTGTTCTTTATTTCATAAATTAGGTTTCATATTTTTAATTTTAGAATTTCTGCAGCCATCTTACGAGATTTAAACTGATGATCTATAATCCGGAAAATCGATAATCCGGAATCGCCGAAGTCCCGACGATCCGGTTAACGACTTTGACTGTATTACCTACTATATAATGAATTGTATTTCTGAACTAAGCAAAGAAATGAGGTTTATTTCCCTAAACTCCATCCCTATTTTAACTGAGAATACCCAGAAAAGTCATTCTAATGCTACATCCTGCTATAGTCAATCATTTGAGAGGATTTTCAGATCAACAAACTGTCAGTACTCATCCCACAAACATCAGTTGTCTAGGATTTTAGGTATGCTCAAATGGCTGCAACTCTTCCAGTTTTTCAGCACACCTCCCAGTCTTCGGTAGATCAGTAAGTCTCCAGTTTTTAATTTTATCTTTAATTAAGGAAAACTATTTGAGAGAATGTTTCCAGCAATAATAAAATTTATAAATTAATGAAACTTAAAAAAAAAAAAAAAAATGTGCAAATTGTATTTCCCATCCTAGTGATAGTCATGCAGAACTTTATATTAGGATTTAAAAAAGTATTTAATTAATTGATATTTGTACTTGATTTAATTTTAATTAATATATTGTATATTATAAGTTTATCCATATAATGTATGTACATAACTATTAATTTTATTTTCATCATATTTAAAAGTACTTCATTAATAAAAGCTTTCACTATTGAAGATTTTCTTAGATAATGTAATGACTGGTATAAAAGTGTAAAATATTACAAAATTAAAATGTTAGCCTATTTACTTAAATATTAATGTATTTTACATAATAAGAATCATATTATAAATAGTTCTGTATTTAAAATTATGCATTATAATGCATGTTACTTGCTTCCTTTCCCACTTTTGAAATGGCAGTGCAAGTATAGTGCAAAACCGTTTTTAATTTTTTGTAGTGGTAGCTGTGGTATGTGCAGACAGCACTGCTAAGTACCATATGATCCACACCACATATGACAGAAAAAACGAAGTTTACAGAGTTAAATGCTATTGTGTACCTTTCCAATCTTCCGTAAAGCGCAATCATCAAACATTAA